TGTTTACAATGCATGGTTGCAAGGCCTATGATAAAGACAGTGTGTGGTTAGATTTTGTGATGACAAAATCCAAAATTGGGTAAATTGCAGATAAGTATATTGATACTTTGTAGGTAGTCTCACTTTAGAACTTGAATTTTCAAATGTGCCACTTTAATGCTTGAACTTTCAAAACCATATATTCAAGGGCGGAGTCAAGTATATTGACCCCCTAACTTTTTGTTAAACCCATTATTTATATAGCTAGTAAGTGGAGGGTGGGTTAAAAACAAAGTAAAGTCAGTCCTCCTTCTAACACTCTTGCAACTTCCAAAATTATTTTTTTGTTTATTTTTCCTTAAAAAAATCCATAATAGACCAAACCTACCTGCTCCATTTCTCTTGAAACCCAAACTCACTCTTTCATTTTCTTGTTTAACTTGGCCCCCCCAAAAGAAAATTCTTGGCTCCGCCATTACCTATATTTAGGACCAAATCTATACTATATATAAAAGTGTAAATGTAGTGTGAATCATTTTTTTTTTTACTAAACTTACCTTATATTTTTTTGTTTGAGAAATGGTATAAAAGTCATTTCATTATAGCCTTAATGTCAACTTTAACGGCTACTATAATGGCCATATTTGTGTATTTAATCCATCTTTAATTGTAAGGGTTGAAAATGTAACTTCAATTATTACTTTGCACCTCATTTAATCCCCTCTCATTAAATCTTATACTTAAGGTATTAAATCTCATTTTATCTTATTAAATCCTATATTTTAAGTTATTTTTCATTAATAAGTGCTACTAATTAGATTTATGCCAATATTTTTAACAATATATACCCATATATTTTAAAACTGACTCAAAAATAATATCATTATTTATTCAAGTGGTGGCTAAGCAATTCAACCATCTGAATCAAATTGGTCAACCTATGAAGTCATAGTTAGGTAATAAAATTTTTAAAATAGAAAATAAATATTGAAAATTACAAAAAATGTAGAAAAATTAAACACATTAATGATATTTTTATTAATCAAATTAAAAAAGTGTAATAAATAAGACTTATTTTTATTGATATAGAAAACAAAGTACATAATTTATAACTAACCAAAAATGAAACATAAAAATTAATAATAAATAGTTCAACTTGTGGGTTACATGTGTTAACCTTTAATGTCATAAATAAATAATAAAAATTAATAAAATATAAAAATACATAAATTTTGCAAAAATGAACATTGAAGCACATGTATAATATCATGTATTTATTATATGGAACAAAAAGTAAATGTGACATAGTAGAATTATTTTTACACACAAAAATACAAAAAAAAATTATAGAATTTTTTTAACACATATATAATTCTATATTTACACTACTATTAAAAATATAAATAAGATTGTGGAACTTTCTTTTTACTAAAATCAAGGTTTTAAAAATTGACCCAAAAATGGAACCGCTTTGACTTTTGTTTTCTAAGTCAACGGTTCAATCTTCCAGTTTGAGTAGGTCAAATTGGTAAGATATAAAATATAATGTAACTTTTTATTTTGAACCCTAGGGTAGGATTAGATTAAAGTCCACCATATATATACATTATTATGAGGGGGGAATGTGAGTTAAACTTAAGAAGGAGGCGGATGGTTATAGTTGAGAAGAAGAAGAAGAAGAAGAAGAAGAAAGAGAGAAGGAAGCGTTGCCAGAGATGGTTGTCACCATTTCATCGAGCAATTTTGCAAGACTGTTTTCCCTAAGAAGAAGAAGAAGAAGAAGAAGAAGAAATTGTAGGTAGTAGCTATCTCCTTGTTCATCATCATGCCACTACAACACCGCTTGCCCTCTTCTTACATCTCTCTAAAATCCCAGATCATTTGGTTTTATCTCAGATTTTAATATAAAGATCGATATTTGATCTCTCATCTCTTGCATTGATTTTTCAATTTCTTCATTGGAGTTACAATTTTTATTGTTACTACTTAAAAAGAATCACAAAAATGAAAGAAGTTAAAATCAAAATGGAATAACTAAAAACCCTAACTAATTTTGGCCATTGGGAATAATCGAACAAGATTTTGAGATATGAAAGTTTCTTTTATTATTTTTTATTTTCTAATTTATATTTTTAAAACAAATAAAAAACTTGGAATTAGTTTGAAAGCAACCCAAGAACCATTAACTAGGTTGAACATTTTAATGGTTAAACCATTCGGATCAATAGTTCCTTGACCATTTCAACGATTTTTTTTGTAAAACAGTAGTTTAGGGCCAAAACGAAACCAATGACTTGACCACTTCCTAAGCTAAATGGTTCGATTGTCCAATTTAGTCAAAATTTTAAAACATTGACTAAAATACTCATTTTTGAATTTAGTTCCTATTTAATTGTAAGTTTTAAATTATCAATTGAACTACTACTTTTCACTTAATTCAATTTCCTCTATTTAAATCTTATATTTTTTATAAATGAATAAAAGAAAAACAATCTATATTATATATAAAAGTGCAGATGCAAAGTAGATTTTTTGGACTAAAATTACCCTCTATTTCCTTGTTTCAAAGTCATTTTATTACAGATTTAATGCAAACTTTTGATGACTACTAAAATGCCCATATTTATCTATTTATTACATCTCTAAGTATAAGGGTTGAAAATGTAACTTCGATTATTACTTTCCACCTCATTTAATCCCCTTATACTTAAAGGTATTAACTCTCGTTTTCTCTTATTAAATCTTATATTTAAGTTAATTTTCACCAATAAGTTATTTAAGTTAAGTCAATATTTTTAACAATATGAACCCATATATTTTAAAACTGGCTAAAAATCAAAACCATTCTTTATCTAAGTGGTGGATAAGCAATTCAACCATTCGAATCAAATTGGTAAACCTATTAAGTCATAGTTAGGTAATAAAATTTTTAAAATAGAAATAAACATAGAAAACTACAAAAATGTAGAAAAAATAAACACATATGATATTTTTATTAATCAAATTAAAAAATAAGTGTAATAAAAAGAATTATTTTTATTAATAATGAAAATGAAATACATACTTTAGAACTGAATAAAAATAAAATTATTTTACTATTTGGCAAATATCAATAGTTCAACTTTTGGGTGGTTAAATGTGTTAACATTTAATGTCATAAATAAATAATAAAAATTAATAAATAAAAATATAAAAATGAAAAATACATAAATGTTGCAAAAAAAATTGAGGCACATGTATAATATTAATTAATTATTATATTAAGCAAAAAGTAAGTGTGACATATCAGAATTATTTTTACATAGAAATATAAAAAAAATTATGAAAAAATTGAAAACATCTATAATTCTATATTTACACTACTATTAAAAATATAAATAAGATTGTGGATCTTTCTTTTAACTAAAACACTCATTTTTTAATTTAGTCCCTATTTAATTGTGAGGTTTAAATTGTAAATTAAACTACTACTTTTCACCTCATTCAATTCCCTCTATTTAAATCTTACATTTTTTTGATAAATGAACATAACAAAAACACTAAAAAGATAAAATATTATAAAATGAAGAATTTTTAGCCAAGCGGGTAGATGAGGTGTTTATATAATCAGATTTGGATTTTGTAATATGCATCCAATTAATAGTAAAAAGCAAAAAACATATAAAAACAAAAAAAATTAAAAAATACATATTTATAAAAATCTTTGGATACATTATTACTATCACTATTATCATCTAGAATTACAACATGCACGCTTACTAGTTTGTTAAAGTAATGATAAAATGGAGTAAAATTATGAAAATGCCTAAGTAATGATTTTTTTCACCTTTCATCTTTATTCTACCTTTGGACTTTCAATGCATATCATGAACGGTGGAAAAGTAAGCATCCAAAAGTGAAATAACCCCTAAGGCCTCAATGAACAAAATGTGATGAACTTCATTTTTTGCCACTGGTTTGTATTCAACGTCCAAAGAAGAAAAGATGAATATTGAAAAAAGAGAATCAAAATGCGAACATTTTAATAAAAGGCGGTGTTTGAAACCATGGGTGTTTATTCAATAAACGTTGACACATAGGCACCACTTCAGCATTGTACTCATCATGCTAATCTATACACATAGAGACTTGTAAAAGTATGTCGTGTCTATCATTAGGGGAAGTTTTGTTTTAGTGCTTCCCCCATGAGTAAGCATTTATTTACTATTTTGTTGATGAAGTGCCTAATGACATCTAATTATTAATAAACGGTTTTATTATTGCTTTTCTCGATTTTGCAAACAAATCAAATATAAACGTTTAATAAATAAAGGGAAGTTATATCAAGCACATACTTTATCGCTCACCACGGAATTAGACTTTAATGTATAAATCTAGAAATTTAAGTATTAAAGTGACACATTTAAAAGTTCAGCCCCTATGCCCAAACTATTGGTACCCCTATCTGCAATTTACAGAAATTTAATAAGCAGGAAGGTGATCCGATGTGGTGCCCATAGAGCGCGCTCACAGCCCATCCCCTCCTTGCAGTCTTGCACTGGGAACATCACCCGTGGGAATGGGATGGGCTGTGGGGAGTGCTCCGTAGTCAGCTGATCCCGTCCCAGAAGAAGGTTAATTGAGACCGAATCAGCCCCACAAGACTGCCCCCACAACGTCCCACACTACATTCTTACCGTGTATTGAGAATATCTCTCGATGACATCATCATCGGGAGATGTTCTCGATACACGGCAGGGATGTGGTGTGGGACGTTGTGAGGGGCAGTCTTCTGGCGGGCTGATTTGAACTCAGGTTATTACTTATTAGAATCCCTCTCCATTCCCCAATACCACACAGTATGCTGTTTTGTTTTTTTTTACGTGAAATATAATTTTCCTTTTTCACCGGCAATATAATTTTCCTTTTGTTTAACAAAAAAAAAAGGAAATATAATTTTTCTCATTTTTTTAGCATTAGAGGGGGTTGTACCGTTCTTCGACTCGTTACCAAATACATCTCTCGTGTCCTCTCCTTGACTCCTCCAGCTCGCTTTCCATGTCTGTCCTTTTTAATTATCCCTATAAGACAGAGAAAGAGAGAGACAGAGGAGCGAACGGCCATTAGCTACCGACGTTAACCTCGGGCGACTGGGCCGGTTCCTCTTGAACTCCCAAAGTCCCAATCTCCCACTCAATATATACCCAACCCAGCCCAACCCACCCTCAAAATTCTCACCTTCCCCTCTTTGGGGTTTCTTAGTTTATCTCAAGAGGGAGAAAGGATTTGGGAGGGGGGAGTGGTGCTCATCTCAACAATAACCTAGGTTCTTCTCCTTCACACCCTCCGATCATACTACTCCTCTTGTTCTTTTAATGGCTCCAGCTTCTATCTCTGTTTCCCTACTTTGGGTTCTTATCCTTTTGTTCACTTCAGGTAGAATTAACAATCCCTGTTTTTTCTGTCCCTCTTCTCTGTTTTCTTGATGTCTCCTTCATATTCTCTGTCTTGTCTTGTTTTTTCGGTTCTGCAGGGGTGTTTTCGGCTACATTCACAATAACCAACAACTGCGGCTACACAGTATGGCCGGGAGTGCTATCAGGCGCCGGAACAGCACAGCTATCGACGACTGGTTTCGTTCTGCAGAAGGGTGAGTCTAAGACAATCTCCCTTCCGGCCTCTTGGTCAGGTCGGCTCTGGGGTCGCAGCCTTTGTAAGGAAGATTCTAGTGGGAAGTTCTCTTGCGTAACGGGCGATTGTGGCTCCGGGAAGGTAGAATGCGTCGGGGGCGGGGCTGCACCTCCTGCAACTCTGGCCGAGTTCACATTAAACGGCGCTGGCGGCCTAGATTTCTACGATGTGAGCTTGGTGGATGGATATAACCTTCCGATGCTGATAGTACCGCAGGGGGGTTCGGCAGGGAACTGCAGCTCCACTGGGTGTTTGGCGGACGTGAACGCAGCGTGCCCGTCGGAGCTGAAGGTGGTATCATCGAGCGTGGAGAGGAGCGAGAGCGTGGCGTGTAAGAGCGCATGTGAGGCCTTTGGACAGCCTCAGTACTGCTGCAGTGGTGCGTACGGGAATCCCAATACGTGCAAGCCAACTTCTTACTCTCAGCTCTTCAAACGAGCGTGCCCTCGTGCCTATAGCTACGCCTACGATGATGGGACTAGCACCTTCACTTGTGCTTCCGCGAATTACGTTATCACTTTCTGCCCTTCTCTATCAACCAGGTAAATTAAATAAATAAATCATCATAGTAACAAACTAAAATTAACCATTAGATGAGGCCAGCATGGCATTCGATCATCCATAATAAGAACCATCGGATTGGAATACTGGTGGGCCAGAACGCATGATGATGTAGGGGTAGGGGGTCCATGTGACTCTTAATCTCAATTATTGGTTAGGGCAGAGGGTTGAGAGGGATCCACCAATTTCCAATCTAACGGTCACAATTTCCATGTACCCCTTGCCCTTGGGTCGAGAATCTTTTTAATAACGGACGGGCCTGTCAAAACGAACGTTGGATGTGCAGTCCAACTAAAGTACAAAACAAGCATCGCAGCTTTTGTGCTTACCAACAAAAGGGTTTCCGTTATGTGGTGAATTTGCGGTGTTTATGGCGTCTCAGCTAGAGAGCATCAGAGACGGTCCCGTAAAAAATAGATTCGAATCTGACACGCTGAAATGGATCGGGACCACATTCAATTTAATGGGCTTGTCGTTGTTTGGACCTCGACAGTCGACACCGACTCACTTATTTACATTATTATTGCTATTGGCTGTGAAAATTGAAAAAGGCTTCGGCGATATAATACGGTCGCCTATCTTAGATGGAAAATTTTATTTGGATAGAATAATAAAATATAATAAAAAGCCGGGTGGTTCGATGATCACATATTCATATGACGTTGGATGTAAATGCAGCCAGAAATCGGCGGAAGGAACACATCCAGAGGCAGCTGACGCACCTCCGCTGAAGGGGTCGATGGTGTTCTTGGGCGCAGGGGAGTACGTGAGCGGGGCATCACCCAAAACCAACATGAGGATGCAGCGAGAGCAGGTGTTGTTGGCTGTGTTGATGGTATCTTATTGGAGTTGGAGGTTGCTGCTGGGACAACTGTTCTGACTTTTTATATGCAGAGCAGAGGTTAAAGCAAACACCAGACCCAAGGGAAATGGGAGGAGAAGAGAATGGCTTGTTATCTCACACTTTACATCACATTTCTCTCTTTCAACGGTCTGACTCGAGCCAAACCCTCTTCTCACACTCAATTCAACTCCACACAATTTTTAGCTTAGCTAGCCGACCATCTTCACAAAATACAACAGGAGGTTCAGAATTACACTTCACATTTACATTTTTAATTTGTTTATTTTTATTTTTATTTTTATTTTTGTAATGTATTGTCGTATATATATATATATATTTTTTTTTTGCTTCAGGTAATGCATTATTGTATTAATTGGGGGACAAGTGAAACAGAAAAAAATAGGTGTATCATCTGTCAGATTGGCTCCATTAACAGGGAGGGGGATGGTGAGAAGAGTAAAATCATTAATTGAAAAACAATTTAGAAGAATAAGGGATGTGATTGTGAAACGAGAGGAGGAGGTTGATTTGTTTGTTTTGGGCAATTGGGAGTTGGGAGTTGGGAGAATGGGAGGGAGTACCTACCAAATTTATTTATATATATAATGCAAAATGAATATCACAAAGTTGTGACTTGCATTGCATGTCTAGTTATTATGGTTTTGGTTTTGTGGGGATCTTTGGTGTTTGGTGTGTTACATAATTCTATTAATCAATTATTTTGGCGAGGCTATGAATAAAGTTGAATACACTTTCCTGGAATATTCCATTGCGTTTCAACTTTAAGGGGATGGATGTCTATGGGTGGTATGACATGTGCAGATTACCAAGTTATGTGATGAGAGAGGGGACGGAGACAGGGGGAAGTTCAAAGTTAGTCTATCAATCAATTATTTTGGCGAGGTTATTGTCGATTTAGAAGAAATAAATAATAATAATAAATGATGGGTTGCTTAGAACGTGAAGAATGGTGGTGGTGGTGGTGGCGTCGGCATCCCATATCCACCTCATAATTGCGTGGACGGTGTGGACTGAGCCATGTGCAGGACTATGCCAATTCAGTTGGAATAATCCAACCAAATACGCTGTTACATCGGCTTTCATCTTTACATTTATAGTGCATCAATTGTATCGTGCAACAAAAAATATGAACCAATAATAGTAATAACATAATATATAATAATTGATATCTTTGACTTTATTAAATTATTAATGATAAATACATTTTACGAAACATAAACATTCATTTAACATATTAACGAATGCATGTTATATGGAGTCTTAATATGATTTGAAGGGAAAAGGGTGACTGATGGATAGGATGGAATTTCGCACTGTTGCCTTTCTTTCTTTCATGGGTTGAGAGTAGGGAGTTGAGACCACCACCCCCACCTACTTGATGTTGACTTATTTTAGGGTATAAGGTGGCACAATCAACCTGAGACTAGTGACAAGGATGATAGAGATGAAGCTATTTATGAATGAAAATTCGGTTAAACAACATCAAACCGACTGAAGTCACAATAGAAGGAGAGCAATAGCATTGACAAATGCATGTTTGATCTGATCCATGAATGACATATGTGTTGCTTCTCCTTGCACGTTACGTGAAGGATGGTAATTACACTGGAGTTTGGATGTATCAGGTCTATCATACCTTCGTCCTACAGCTAGCTACAGGTCCAGTACCGGCTGGTATGATCGATTAGGCTAATTATGTTAAACCTTGGCTTGTTGAATTGTGTCTGTCTTTGAATTGTGTCCAATGCTGTTATCATTTTTAATGTTCCAACCAAACAATCATGCTGTGCTCACATCAGGGGTGAGCATTGTTTGTTAAAATAAAAAAAAAAAATGAAACTGAACATTTTTGTTTTGGTTTTGATTTTTAGGTTGGAAGTCGGTTAATTGAAAATATCGAAAACTGAATCTAAAATTTAGTTTAATCGAAAATGGAATAAAAAATTTTAGTCTTATTGTGTTTTTCATTTAAAATTTGGTTTTTAATTGAATAAACTTATTGCTTACCCTTAATACCCACTAATGATGGCCGATTTGGCCCTCCAGTGACATGATGACACGTGATAACCCTACATTTTGATGCCTTAAGGGCATCAATTCAAGGGTATTTTCAGTCTTAGAATATTGAAAGTGTATCATTTTTCCCGTTAAAATCAATTATGTGACCTCTGAGGGTCTCTGTGCAAATTATGTAGAAAAGTTTTCTACGCTGAAGTGTAAATTTTGGGAAGCTGGTATAAAGACCAACTAAGAGAGGGGGTGTTTTTGTAAAGAACTGAGGACATGAGGGTGCTTCCTATCTGCTAAGCTCAGTTGACGCTCATCCTATTGTATTACCATGCTCCCCTCTCCTTAGCAAGCCTAGGGAGCATTTTTAACCTAATTTTTTCACTCTTACCAAACCCTACCCGCCCCTAGGTGTTTAATCTCCATCCTCCACCCCTTTTAATCTCAACCACTCATTTTAGGGCTCTCCTTTATAGTTTTTAAATCCTAGGGTGCCACCTATTCTGCTAATCCTCACCATTCAGCTCCCCTACCATTAAATCTCAGCCACTCCCGCCATCTTATATTCCAACCATTCAATCTAGGGCACCACCTATTATTTTAATCTTAGCCCTTCAACCCTAGATGTTCTAATCTACACCCTCCATTTTTGGGCGCCCAAATCTCAGCCCTACATAATATTGGGTGCCCTCTCCTTCCATTTTCAGCCATAGGATCACCCCAAAACCATCTTAGCCATCCATTAGAAACCCCATGGCTTCCCTAACTTTGCTAAATCTCAACTGCCGCCCCCATCTTTCTCCCTATTTTCAATTGTGTCCACCCTTCTCTATAAAAAAGGTCCTAGGGGCCCTGTAGAAGGGGTTGGTAAATTCACCCAGTTAACAAAACTAAAGTTTATTGAGGAGTTCAAGGGTTGTAGAAGGGGATGACGCCCAAATCTTGTCAAGAGGGGTTTCTGCAAGCTGTTCAACCATTTTACAACTACCACCACTGGATTTGATCAACTATTCTTTTCTTTTCTTTATTTTCTTTTCTGTTATGTTTATTTCTGTAATCTTTTAGATTTAATTCTTTTTCTGTTTTTCTATTTTGCAGATCTGAATTCGGTCGGTTCAAGGCTAAGGTGTCTCGAGGGGTTCGAGGGTTGTAGAAAGGATAGACGCCCGGTTCTTGTCAAGAGGGGTTTCTGCAAGCTGTCTGGCCGATTTGCAACTATCGTCACAGGATCCGGATTCTGGATAATTTTTTTTATTGTCTTGTTTAAATTCGAAACATTTAATTTTAGTAATAATAGATTTTATTTTCTTATTTTCTACAATTCTCGATTGTATTCTCTTGTCCGGATCTAAGTATATATTAATTTTTCACTTGCTTTCCTGTGGATATGACTCATTCTCATCCATTTACTACATTATTAGTTGTTTGAAAAATGGTAAAAATTATAAATGTTTAAATTGGTGTTTCGGGGTGTTTAACGACGCGCTTCTGGACACACCAAGTTTTTCTTTTTCATTTTATTACTTGATCCATTATCTCAGTTTAGTTTTTGCTTCTCTTTGATTCTGTAAGACGGAATAGCGAAAGGTGGGGTACCAGAGCGTTGTGGGACTGCGGGACGGAAGAGAAGAGAAGAGAAATTGGATTGCGTTTCAAGTGTAGTCATTCCATTTTATTTTTTAGTTTCTTATTTTTTATTTTCAAACTCTTTTTTTGATATAAAAGTTATTTTTGAATTTTTAATTATTTTTTTCTTCTAGATCCAATTTATTAATTTATTTGTTTGTTTTTTTAGTATTATTTTGCTTTATTTTAAGTTCTTGTTCAATTTTTTAATTATTTTTGAATTATTTTAGTATTATTTTGCTTTATTTTAGTATTATTTTTGAATTTTTAATTATTTTTTTTCTTCTAGATCCAATTTATTAATTTATTTGTTTGTTTTTTTAGTATTTTTTTCTTTATTAATTTTGTTTCTAGATCTATTCTTCTTCCTTTATTTTAAGTTCTTGTTCAATTTTTTTTTGCTTTATTAGGTTTGTGTTTTTCTTTTATTTTAGAGTTAAAAAAACAAAAAAACAAAAAAAAATTCATTTATTTTATTTCTTGCATCATAATTTTCTTTTGTTTATTTTATTTTATTTTATTTTCATTTTAAAATGTAGATTAATTTTTTTCTTTTATTTCAGATCAAAAAAACAAAAAAAAAATTCATTTATTTTATTTTATTTTATTTCTTGCAGCATAATTTTCTTTTGTTTATTTTATTTTATTTTATTTTATTTTCATTTTAAAATGTAGATTCATTTTTTTCTTTTATTTTAGATAAAAAAACAAAATAACAAAAAAAATTCGTTTATTTTATTTTATTTTATTTCTTGCAGCATAATTTTCTTTTGTTTATTTTATTTTCAGTTAAAATGTTAGATTCGTTTTTTTTTCTTTTATTTAAAAAACATTTTTTTTTCATTTATTTTATTTTATTTTATTTCTTGCAGCATAATTTTCTTTTGTTTATTTTATTTTCAATTAAAATTTTAGATTCGTTTTTTTCTTTTATTTCAGATTAAAAAAACAAATTTTTTCGTTTATTTTATTTTATTTTATTTTTGTAGCGTATTTTTCTTTCGTATTAGTTTTTAGATTTGTGTTTTGATTTTATTAAAAGAGAAAACGAAAAAAATATAAATATAAAAAAATTCAGCATATTTTTTTTTCTTTTGTTTATTTTATTTTTGGTTTAATATTTTTTTTTAGATTTGTATTTTTTTATTTTATTTTATCTATTTCTTGCATAGTTTTTTTTTATCATTTTATTTTCAGTTTAATTTTTAGATTAGCAATTAGTTTGTTAGAATTTATTTTTGGTAGTTGTTAATTCTGTTTAGCACAATTAATTGTTGTTTTATTTTCTGTTTGGAATTATTATTTGTTGCTTTATTTCATTTCCTTTCTTTTATTTGTTTAATTGAATAATTAATTGCTAAACAGGAAATTGTTGAACTTTTCGAATTTGAGTTTAAATTTCAAATCTGAGTTTAAATTTAAATTTTAATTCGAATCTGAATTTAAATTTTAATTAAAAAAATATAAAAAATTGAGCAAAACATTTGGAATATTTCTCTTGCATTTTCATTCCATTATTTAGGATTTCATATTCTAGAGCATGCATCATATATGTTTTTTTAATTTCTGAAATTATTATTGTTAGTTGTGAATGTGTTAGGTGTTATTTTTATTATTTTAATTGTTCCTTTTGCTTAGTTTGTTTATTTTATTCTTTTATGTTTAACTGCAAAATTGCATTTTAGAAACTGATGCGGCACGATCCGGACACTCCTAGCTGGCTGCTAACTGGCTCCTTGTTGGCAACGGACGACACCTGAGAAGATGAAAAGAAGGATTCCCGGGGATTTACCCGGTGGGAATACTCCGAAACTTAAGTCAGAACGTTGGGGAAGGAGAAAAAAGAGAGTAAGAAAGCTAA